ATATTGACCATTTTCTCATGTAGCTATTGGCTCTTTGTATGTCTTTTAAGAAATGACTATTCAGGTCTTTTACCTCTTTTTAATTGGATTATTTGTGTTTTCTGCTCTGCTATTGAATTTTGTTTGAGTTTCTTATATATTCTGGATATTCATCCCTGTCAGATGTGTAGTTTGCAGATATTTTCTTCCATTCTGTAGATTGTCTCTTCAGTCTGTTGATTGCTTCCTTTGCTGTACAGAAACTTTTTAGTTTGATGTAATCCCATTTGTCTGTTTTTGCTTTTGGGGTCTTATACAAAAGACCCTTCCCTTGCCCACACCAATGTCCTGAAATGTTTCCCCTATCTTTTCTTCTAGTATTTATATTTGGGGTCTTATATTAAGTCTTTAGCCCATTTTGAGTTGATTTTTTTAATATGGTGAGAGATAGGGGTCTAGTTTCATTCCTGGACATGTAGATATCCAGTGTTCCCAACGCCATTTATCAAAGAGGCTGTCCTTCACCAGTGTGTATTCTTGGCGTCTTTGTCAAAAATAAATTGGCTGTAAATACGTGGATTTATTTCCATGCTCTCCTGTTTTATTGGTCTTTACATCCATTTTTATGGTAGTAGCATGCTATTTTGGTTACTGTAGCTTTGTAGTATATTTTGAGGTCAGAGAGTGTGATGCCCCCAGCTTTGTTCTTTTTGCTAAAAATTGCTTTGGCTTTTGGCGTCTTTTATGATTCCATACAAATTTTAGGATTATTTATTCTGTTTCTAAGAAGAATGTCATTGGTGTTTTCACTGGATTGCATTGAATCTGTAGATCACTTTGTAGCATGGACATTTTAACAGTATTAATTTTAATCCATGAACATAGGCTATCTTTCCATTTATGTCCTCTTCAACTTTTTCCATTAATGTTTTACAATTTTCATTATAGAGATCTTTCACCTCCTTGGTTAAATTTATTCCCAGGTAATTTTTTTGAAAATGGAATTGCTTTCTTGATTTCTTTTTTTCAGGTAGTTTGCTAGTGATGTATAAAATTCTACTGATTTTTATTTGTTGATTTTGTATCCTGCAACTTTACTGAATTTGTTTATTACAACAGTTTTTTGGTAGAGTCTATAGGGTTTTCTATATATAAGATTATGTCTTCTGCAAACAGAGACAATTCGACTTCCTCCTTTCCAGTTTGAATGCCCTTTCTCTTTCTTTTGGTTAATTGCTCTGGCTAGGGCTTACAGAATTATGCTGAATAAAAGTGTTGAAAGTAGGCATTCTAGCCTGGTGCCACACCTGGAATCCCAGCAGTTTGGGAGGCTGAGATGGGCAGATCACGAGGTCAAGAGATTGAGACCACCCTGGCCAACATGGTGAAACTCTGTCTCTACTAAAAATACAAAAATTAGCCGGGTATGGTGACACGCGCCTGTAGTCCCAGCTACTCAGGAGGCTGAAACAGGAGAATTGCTTGAACCCGAGAGGCGGAGGTTGTAGATCACACCACTGCACTCCAGCCTGGTGACAGAGCAAAACTCCAGCTCAAAAAAGGAAAAAAAAAAAAAAAGGAATTGGGCATCTCTGTCTTGTTCCAGATCTTAAGAGGAAAAGCTTTCAACTTTTTCATGTTCAGTATGATACTAACTATGGGTTTGTCATACGTGGCTTTGTGTTGAGGCACAGTTTCCTCCATACCTAATTTGTTGAGAGTTTTTATCACGAAGGTATGTTGAATTTTTTTTTTTTTTGAGGCAGAGTCTTGCTCCGTTGCCCAGGCTGGAGTGCAGTGGCGCAGTCTCGGCTCACTGCTGCCTTCGCCTCGTGGGTTCAAGCGATGCTTGTGCCGCAGCCACCCAAGTGGCTGGAATTACAGGCCTGTACCACCATATCCAGCTGTTTTTTGTATTTTTAGTAGAGATGAGGTTTCACCATGTTGGCCAGACTGGTCCCAAACGCCTGACCTCAAGTGATTCACCTGCCTCAGCCTCCCAAAGTGCTGGGATTACAGGTATGAACCACTGTGCCCAGCTGGTATGTTGAATTTTATTAAATGGTTTTTCTGCATCTATTGAAATGATCATATGGTTCTTGTCCTTGATTCTGTTGATTTGATAGATCATGTTTATTGATTTGCATATGTTGAACCATCCTTTCATCCCTTGGATGAATCCCACTTGGTCATGGTAAATGATGTTTTTAATATATTGTTGAATTCAGTTTCCTATTATTTCATTCAGGATTTTTGCGTCCATGTTCATCAAGGATATTGGCCTGTAGTTTTCTTTTTTGTTGTATCCTTGTCTGGTTTTGGTATCAGGGTAATGCTGGCCTTATAGAATGATTCTGTAAGATTTCTCTCTTCAATTTTTTGAATAGTGTGAAAAGAATTAGTATTATTTAAATGTTTGGTAGAATTCAGCCATGAAGCCATCAAGTCCTGGGCTTTTCTTTGATGGGAGACTTTTTATTACTGATTCAATCTCACTCTTTATTGGTCAGTTCAGGTTTTCTGTGTCTTCATGGTTCAGTTTTGATAGCTTGTGTGTCTAGGAATTTAGCCATTTCCTCTAGGCTTTCCAATTTGTTGGCATACAGTTGTTTATAATAGTCTCTTACAATACTTTGTTTATGGTACTAGTTGTAATGTCTCCTTTTTCATCTCTGAATTTGATTCTTTTTTTTTTTTTTAGTCTACTATAGGTTTGTTGATTTTGTTTACCTTTTCTAAAAAACAATCTTTGGTTTTGTTGATCTTTTGTATCTTTTTTAGTCACTTTATTTCCATTCTTCTGGTCTTTATTATTTTCTTTGTTCTGCTTATTTTGGGTTTAGTTTATTATTTTCTAGTTCCTTTGCATCAGGTTGTTTATTTGAGATCTTTCTACTTTTTTTTTTTTTTTTTTGAGGCAGAGTTTCACTCTGACCCCCAGACTGGAGTGCAGTGGCACGATCTTGACTCACTGCAACCTCCGCCTCCCGGGTTCAAGTGATTTTTATGCCTCAGCCTCCCAAATACCTGGGATTACAGGTGCCCACCACCACGCCCGGCTAATTTGTGGTAGAGACGGGGTTTCACTGTGTTGGCCTCACCTCCTCACCTCAGGTGATTCCGAAAGTTCTTGGGCGTGAGCCACCCGCCTGGCCTGACTGTGATTTTTTTCTTTTTTTAATTTGTTGAGACTTGTTTCGTGGCCTAATATATGGTCCATCATGGAGAATGTTCCATGTGCTGATGAGAAAAATGTGTATTCTGTGGCTGTTGGAGGGAATGTTCTGTAAATGTGTGTTAGGTCCATTTGGCCTAGAGTGCAGTTTAAATCCTGTGTTTCTTTGTTGACTTTCTGTGTGGGTGATCTGTCCATTGCTGGAAGTGGGATGTAGCATTCTCTGCTGTTACTGTATTGCAGTCTGTGTCTCCCTTTAGGTCTGATAATATCTGCTTTATATTGTGTGCACCAGTGTTGGGTGCATAGATGCCTGAAATCATTACATCCTCCTGCTGAATTGACCGCTTTGACCTTTGTTTCTTTTTACAGTTTTTGGCCTGAAGTCTACTTTATCAAAATATAGCTACTCCTCTTCTCTTTATGGTTTTAATTTGCATGGAATATCATTTCTCATGCCTTCACTTTCAGGCTTAGTGTGTCCTTACAGGTGAAGTGAGTGTCTTGTAGGTAACATAGAGTTGGATTTTGTTTTTTGTTTTTTCATCCATTCAGCCACTATGTCTTTTCATTGAAGTATTTAATCTACTTACATTCAAGGGTATTATTGATAGATAAGGACTTACACCTGCCATTTTGTTAATTATTTTCTGTTTGCTTTGCATATTCTTTATTCCTTTCTTTCTCTCTTATTGTTTACCTTTGTGGTTTGGTGATTTTCTATAGTGAGAAGCTTTGATTTATTTCTCTTATTTGTGTGTCTGCTGTAGTTACTTTTTTTCTTCGTGGTTACTATGAGGCTTACATTAAACATCTTATAGTTACAATAGAGTGTTTTAAGCTGATAACAACTTAACGTTTGTCTCATAAAATATTTTTGACTTTTACCCTCCCCTCAAACTTACACTTTCGTTGCTTAATTTACATCTTTTTATATTGTGTGATCCTTAACAACTTGTAGCTGTAGTTACCATTAACCATTTTTTACTTTTAACCTTCATAATGAGGATTTGAAAGATTATATTCCACGGTTATAGCAATGGAGTTTTCTGAATTTGGTAATTAATTTACCTCTGTCGGTGAGATTAGATTATCGTATGTTTTCATGATAGTAATTATACTTTTGCTTCCAGTCGAAGCAACTCCCTTAAGCATTTCTTGTAAGGCTAGTCTATTGGTAATAAATTCTTGCAGCTTTTGCTTGTCTGGGAAAGACTCCATTTTTCTTTCATTTCTGAAAGATAACTTTGCTAGTAGTTGTTATGTTTCAGCACTTTGAATATATTATCCCATTCTCTACAAGCCGTTCTTTCTTGGCATGAACAGGTTTTCTGAGAAATCTGTTGATAAGAACCTGCCGGATTCCCTTACACGTGACTTGATCCTTTTCTCTTGCTGCTTTTAGAATTCTCTATGTCTAACTTCTGATGGCTTTATTATAATGTACCTTGGAGAGAGGACCTCTTTGCATTGAATGGATTTAGCATGCTGTGAGTTTCATGGATCTGGATACCAATATTAAAATTATGTAACTATGACTAATAGTTGATTGTGGTCCTAGTATAGTTTGCCCTCAAATAGGTAAAAGTCTACGAGATTTTATTAAGATTATTATATTCAACTATATACTGATGTACATAAATATTAAATGCTTTATTGTTATAAAATTTTGAAATTAAAATAAGCATAGTTACAAGCTACAGTATGGCAAAATGCCTTTTTCTTTTTCACTCATCTTTTAGCATCATTGGGTTTTCTTAACTTGAATATATGATTTTAATTCATAAATTTTTTTTATTTAAGGAAAATAAATTTTTAGTGTTTTTTATTTCTCTTCCCTACCTAGAAACGATGGAAAGAACTTTCTAAGGAAGACTTATCTCCTGCCTTTGATCATTCACCAAACAAAATAATGACTGAAAAATACAATGGGAACAGAATAGGTTTAGAAGAAGAAAAACTGACAGGTGACCGATGTACAGGACTTCCCTCTAAAATGCAAGACACAATGGAGGAGAACAGTGAGAGGTAAGCTTTCTATAACTACATGCTGAAAGATGAGGCTTTTTGATTTTAGAAATAAATTTTATGGGATCAAGTGCCATAGGATTTCAGGTATGTAATTTTTACATTAGGAAAATACAATCACGCCTGTAATCCCAACACTTTGGGAGTCTGAGGCGGGAAGATCACTTGAGTCTAGGAGTTTGAGACCACCTGGGCAACATAGTGAGACCTTATCTCTACAGAAAATAAAATTAGCCAGGTGTGGTGATGCGAGCCTGTGGTCCCAGCCACTCTGGAGACTGAAGTGGGAGGATTGGTTGAGCCGGGGAGGTCGAGGCCGCAGTGAGCTGAGATAACCACCACTGCACTCCCACCTGGGTGACAAAGCAAGACCCTGTCTTATAAATAATAATAAATAATTATGTGGATATGATATATGATATGAAATAATATAGGCCCTTTTTTTATTGAATTGATATAACCTTTTTTTTTTTCTCTGTCACCCAGGCTGGAGTGCAGTGGCACAACCTCAGCTCACTGCTCCATCTCCTGGGTTCAAGCGATTCTCCTGCCTCAGCCTCTTGTGTAGCTGGGATTACAGGCACCCACCACCACGCCCAGCTAATTTTTGTATTTTTAGTAGAGAGACGGTTTCGCCATCTTAACAAGGCTGGTCTTGAACTCCTGACCTCAGGTGATCCACCCGCCTCAGCCTCCCAAGGTGCTGGGATTACAGGCATGAGCCACTGTGCCCGGCCAAAGAGCCACTGTGCCCGGCCAAATTAATACAACCTTTGTTTCTTACCTGAGGGTATTTGATGACAAAGATGTTCTCAAGGAGCTTTCAGCCAATACTTATAAATAGAAACCAATTCAAAAATCCTTTAAAACAATCATGATTGAGTGTAAAAGTTAATATAATTAGGTGCTAAAATATATGGTATGGTACAGAAAGTAATATGAATATCTGCCATTTGTACTATAGTTATAACGTAACTGATAATACGCCTTTAATAAAACATTTAAACATGTAAGCTTAATTCCATTACTGGAGGAAGAAAAAGGCGTTTTTTAAAAAATCCGTATGACTGTGGCATCTATTCAGAATTTTAAATTACAACTACATTTCTAAGACTGTCTGTCACAGATTAGGAAGCTGGTAACCTGGTATAAGTCACATAGCAAAGTGAATGAGCTTTTTATTTGCTCTGTCCTGCATGTCTGAATACCTTTTCTTCTTCACTTTTTGCCAAACATACTTCTTATTGTGGGGATTTTATCTTGTGGTTGTATTTGTTAGATTGGAATGAAAATAGTCAAGGTCTGCCATACATTATAGCTTCACTGCTCTATTTTCCTAATATAAAAATTAAACGTGAAATTTTATCAGTGCTAATAACATATTCCAATACCTAATACACGTATTATTATAGATTACAGTGGAAGAGTTTATTATGGTTTAGCAACGTTATTCCTAATTTTTGACTTCAGTAGTTTTAGAGTGCAAAAGAAAGCATGATGTCTTTTGGTTCCTTTTTTCATCTTAAATAGAGTACCTTTAAATCAGGAAGTAATAGTTTTAAATTACCTTAGCTTTTTCAATAATAAGGCTTTCAGATTCCTAGTGTTACTGCTTTTTTCCCCCTTTTATCTAGTACTATCTGCAGAATTAAATGAAAAACAGGCTTGATGACTGAAATGGCGTTCTTAGTATTTCAGAAGTGTTGAGTTTTAATCTACAAAGATTCAGACCAGCCATGTTAATCCCAGTGAGTTAAATCACTCATCCAAGGCTGCGAATACAGAGGAGACTAGAAAAACCACTCCGGAGTTACAGAGTGATTGCCAAAGGCTGTTTTATGGGGTCTGTGTGTGTATGTGCCTGTGCATGTTTTCACATGTGGTGGCGTTGTTTTCTTCTTTCCCTTTTTTCCTTTCGTGTCTGATAAATGAGACTGGTGCATGTTTGAAAGCAGAGAGAGAGTCCCAACAGAAAAGTAAGTGGAGAAGGCTGATTGCAAAAACAAGGTTACAGAAATAAAAAAGAGGAGGCCGGGCATGGTGGCTCACGCCTGTAATCTCAGTGCTTTGGGAGGCCAAGGCAGGCAGATCACTTGAGGTCAGGAGTTCGAGACCAGCCTGGCCAACATGGTGAAACCCCGTCTCTGCTGAAAATAGAAAAATTAGCCAGGCATGCTGGCACACACCTGTTGTCCCAGCTACTTGGGAGGCTGAGGTGGAAGAATTGCTTGAACGCAGGAGGTTACAGTGAGCCAAGATCATACCACTATACTCCAGACTGGACAACAGAGCAAGACTCTATCTCAAAAAAAGATAAAAAGAAATGTAAAAGAAGAGCATAGGATCAGGGGTGTGAAATAAAGGTTACTCTGAACAGTTTTATTTTTTAATCAGTCCCAGTAATTTTTAATACCTATAGATAGCTTTGCATTAAAGATCCTAATAAGTCTTATCGAAAGAATTTCAACTTTTTTTTCCCCCCTCCAAGATGGAGTCTCGCTCTGTCACCCAGGTTGTTGAAGTACAGTGGCGCAATCTTGGCTCACTGCAACCTCCACCTCCTGGGTTCTAGCAATTCTCCTGCCTTAGCTTCCCAAGTAGCTGGGATTACAGGCCCCCGCCACCACACCCAGCTAATTTTTGTATTTTTAGTAGAGACAGGGTTTCACCGTGTTGGCCAGGTGAAACCTCCTGACCTTGTGATCCTCCCACCTCAGCCTCCCAAAGTGCTGGGATTACAGACGGGAGCACCATGCCTGGCCAGAATTTCAACTTTCAAAAGAAATAGAACACAGTACTTTCTTGTATTCATTTTCATTGTTGAATATCCTCCAAAGCAGTGTTTTTCAAATTGAAGGTCAAATCACATAGTTGTGAAGTTTATTGGATTATAAGCGTTTTAAAACATTATCAGCATATCAAAAATAATAACATGAATTTAACAGATGCTGGCGAAGTTGTGGAGAAAAAGGAAAGTTTAAACGCTGTTGGTGGGAGTGTCAATTAGTTCAACTATTGTGGAAGACAGTGTGGTGATTCCTCAAAGACCTAAAAACAGAAATACCATTCAACCCAGCAGTCCCATTACTGGTCTACACCCAGAAGAATATAAGTCACTGTACTATAAAGACACATGCACGTGTATGTTGATTGCAGCACTGTTCACCATAGCAAAGACATGGAATCAATCTAAATGCCCATCAATGATAGACTGCATCAAGAAAATGTGGTACATACACAGCATGGAATGCTGTGCAGCCATAATAAAGAACGAGATCATGTCCTTTATAGGGCCTTGAATGGAGCTGGAGGCCATTATCCTTAGCAAACTAATGCAGGAACAGAAAACCAAATACCACATGTTCTTACAAGTGAGAGCTAAATGATGAGAACACACGGACACATAGAGGGGAACAGCACACACTGGGGCCTGTCGGAGGGTGGAGGGTGGGAGGAGGGGGACAGTCAGGAAAAGTGACTGATGGGTACTGGGCTTCATACCTGGGGGATGAAATAATCTGTACCCTCCACGACACAAGTTTCAAGCTTACATAACAAGCCTGCGTGTGTGTGTACCCCTGAACTGAAAAAGAATTTTAACCTGTCTTTATACATGTATGTGTGATGTGTAAATTCCGTATATTTACATATGCATTGTGTACATATGTAAGTGTGTGTGTGAGGGTACTCTGTTGTGAGGCTGTTTCTTACTGTAGGTTACAGTCTGAGTTTGAAAGCCAGTATTCTCAATTACAGTCCAACCCAGAAACCCAGTTCACTGAGAGTGAGAAACAACTTGGACATATGAAAAGTCTGGAGCAGACAGAGTGTCTCATGCCCGTAATCCCAACACTCGGGGAGGCTGAGGCGGGTGGATCACTCGAGCCTAGCAGTTCAGGACCAGCCTGCGCAACATGGCAAACCCTGTCTCTACAAAAAATACAAAAATTAGCCAAATGTGGTGGTACATGCCTGTAGTCTCAAGGGAGGCTGAGGTGGGAGGATTGCTTGAGCCCAAGAGGTTGAGGCTGCAGGGAGCCATGATCACACCACATGATCTTCTGTGGGCAAGGGTCCACGGGAGGCATAGGGTCCACGGGAGGCATAGGGTCCACGGGAGGCATTCCCGTTGATTAATGGCCTAAGTTGCATAAATATAAATATATGGGAAAACCTGGGCAGGTCCCACTTGGCAAGTGATTACACAGACTAATTTCTTTAGGCCCCACTAGGAAGAAAAGATTTTATCACAAATCGAGAGTAGTCTGTCATTCTCTGGAATTGTGTTCTTAAATTAGATAAAGGCATGCCTTGGTATTTGTCTCTAGTCCATTCCTGAATCATGTAGTGCACTTTTGGAAAGCAAAAACCTCCATTCCATTCTTTTAAATGAGAAAAATAGTATGTTCTCAGCCCAACCAGAAAGCATAATCAGTTCCCCCAAATATAGTACAAAACCTTTTAAACTCCTATATAGCATTTAAAGCACTAATTATGTAATCATACAACACTTAATGGACTCATTATTGGGCTTATATGGTAAATGACAAAATACTAGATACAAATTATAATTGCCTTTTATACTGCAATGAAAATAAAAAATGAAATAATATGTTAAAGATTATATCTAAATTGGAAGCTTGTTACCGATACCCCCAGGCTCCTGGCAAAAGCTGAGAAAGGGTCCATGGGAGGCTAACCCCCCTCTCTGGTTTTATACATATTTTGCCTGCACTTGAACACAAATGTTTTTCACTAGCAGGTACATGCATATTTGTGATAGTGAATTTTCAATTCAGAGAGTGAATTCTGAGTAAGAATTTTTGCAAGTCATTATAGCAGATATTCAGATGGAGTTCAGACAGCCAGGGATACCTGTGTACATGATAACAAAAAGTGAAAAAGACATGAGAAAGCACCATAAGATGAACAAAAATAGCAAAACACAGTCCGTCCTCAAGTTGCGGAATATGTTATGAAGATAAAACAAGTACCCAAGTTAGCACATTATTAGTAAATTATAAATTACTTCAAATTAAATGCCGTAAGAATAGAAGGGCTAGAGGGGGTGGAGCGAGGATAATCGAGTATAATTGAAATGAGAGGACAGGAGAGAAGGGAAGGTTTCTATTTTAGTGGGGAACAAATTTGGAGAACAGCAAAAAATGGCAAGAACAAAGTTCTGCATAGCAGGAGAATATTGGCAAGCACTTGTGTGGACATGTGTTCTCAGTTCTCTTGGGTACGTATCTAGGAGTGGAATTGCTGGGTCATATGGTAACTCTATGTTTAACTTTTTGAGGGGCTGTCAAAAGCTGTTTTCTATGGCAGCTGAACCATTTTACATTCCCACTAACAATCTCTTGGGGAGAGAAGGTTCCAGTACACCAAAGAAGTGTAACATTGATTAAAGTATTCTAATACATAATTCAATTCAGATTTCTCGTCTGAAAGGTTCACCATATAGCTTTTTAAATAAACAGTTTTATGGAAAGATAATTTATATACCATAAAGTTTACTCCTTTCAAGTATACGATTCAGTGAATTTTAATACATTTACCAAATTGTGTAGCTGGCACCACGATCTAATTTGAGAACATTTTCCTGATCCCAACTTCTGTAGCTGTTTAAAAAATATTTCAAGATTAATCAAAGATTCATACTGTATTTAGTTGATGTGAGTCTTTGGTCTCCTTTCTACCTTTTCCTTCCTTCCTTGACATTGCTATTTTTGAAGCTTCTAGACCAGTTATCTTTTAGAATGCCTCATGCAATGCATTTCTTTAATCTTTATTTATCATAGTTCAATTCAGGTTAAACATCTTGACCAGGAAAAAAGTGGTCTCGATGTAGGAGACATTGAAGAGGGATTTGAGATTTTTAAGCACTACTGTGCACTAGGCCCTGTAACCAAAAAAAAAAAGTTTTAAATCCAGCTGCATGTCTAGGAGTATGCTCTAGAAAAATTACCATGGCAATAATATTTAATTTGAGGGTAGGGAAGCTAGTTAGGCCTTTGCTGTAATACAGAAAAGTGAAAAGAGGGGATGGAAGAAATAGTAACCTACATGTTGCCATTGGCCGTTTTTTTGTTTGTGTGTGTGTGTGTGTGTGTGTTTTTTTTTTTTTTTTTTTT